GCTCTTCCTGTTAGCCCAATGCCTTTTTGAGTCCAGGGAGTATTATGTGTTCATACTTCATTTGTCAAAGTAGTATTCTTTTAGTGGACCATCAATTTCTGTAGTGTAATTCAAAAACTGGTCCACTTCCAATGATGACTAATAGCAGTTATAAAAGGATGAAGATGTCTACAAAGGTACTCAATCGTAGGAGCCTTATAGTACAAGAATGACAGAAAACTTCTCAGAAGAAAAACAAAGGGAGTATACTAGGGATGGGTCTGTGGATCTCAAAGGAAACCCAATTCTAAGATCGAAGAAGGGTGGATGGACTGCTTGCTACTTTGTCGTAGGTAAGTGAAGCAATAAGTTCATGGCTAAATATTGGCAAGGGGGTCAATTTGCTGATAGCCCCCCCAAGTAAATTTACTACCCATGTTGTTCTATTGTTGCTGATAGATTCTCTGAAAAAGTTCTATTGTTGCAGATAGACCACCTGACCAGGGTCAAAAAAAAATTCTCTTAGGGGACATATCTGCAACAATAGATTTACAGGGCCAGTTGGTTCAATTTGTCAAGTATTACTGGTTTTAGATATCGACTAATAATGTTTTTGATGTTATGCAGTATATGAGATTTTTGAGAGGATGGCTTACTATGGGATAACTTCAAACTTGGTTCTGTACTTAACAAGGAAACTCCACCAAGGCACAGTAGCTTCGGCTAACAATGTCACCAACTGGGTCGGCACTGGTTTCCTCACTCCTATTTTGGGAGCTTATATCGCTGATGCTCATCTAGGACGGTACTGGACTTTTGTCATTTCATCGGCTATTTATTTGTTGGTAAGTTTCTCCTTATACTATGTTCACCATATACAAATCTTATGATTCACTGCTGAGCTGCCAAAAAAAAATATAATGACATGAAGCGCAGTCTGTGATTCTTTTCTTCCTTCTATTCCCAGGGGTACCTTTACATTCGTTCATCAACTTTAAAAGGCTAATTTGAAGTTGCAACGAAAAAGAAATATCAACAAAGTAGTCAAATTTTTACTCACCATATCCATCAAAGTTGATGATTAGTTGATTTGTGGGGTTTCCCCCCACCGTCAATGATTTACGGATAATATTGCAAATACCGAGATGTGGGGACAGTTTTGCAAATATGCATGATTTAAAGAGTATGTATGCTAATGACCCCATATTATCTGTCCTCTTCTGTTATCCTTCAACCAGCGCAAGGAAATGAAGGTCAACTGGATGCAGACATTCCGAAGTGCATCATATCTCCCTGTTTCCTCGTCTTTAGTTGCCGCATCAAGTTCATCATGAGATTCAACTTGCTTCAGAAATTTCCAGAATTCTATGCAAATTGCTTATTCAATTCATACTACTCAATGACATATTAGATCTATGCACATGCTATCTCAATAACAAGAAAAACCTCACACATAGAGCAAATAATTGGTGCTTGCAATCTGACTTATACAGTGAAAGAATCTTTATGATACTGGGAACTGAGGATACAAGCTAAAATTTTCTTTTCAATATTCTGGGGGCTTGAAATGGTAGAAACCATGCTTCTTGCTAGGTACTCGTTGTACTAACATTTTTTATTTTTTATTTTATTTTTTACTTCATTGGCCTTTTCGTCTATTCGAATAAGAAAATAAATGAAAAGCTCTACAATAATCATGATTTTGGTGAGCAGGGTATGTGTCTCCTAACTGCAACAGTTTCAATACCATCCTTAAGACCACCACCTTGCAACCAAAACAATCTTGCAAATTGCAAACCGGCATCAAAACTCCAAGTTGGTGTATTTTTTGCTGCTCTATATACACTAGCACTCGCAACTGGTGGTACCAAACCAAATATCTCAACCATCGGTGCAGACCAATTCGATGAATTCGATAAAAAGGAGAGAAGCCACAAGATATCCTTCTTCAATTGGTGGAATTTCAGTATCTTTTTGGGGACTCTATTTGCAAATGTTATTCTTGTATATGTACAAGATAATGTAGGGTGGTCACTTGGATATGGGCTTCCTACAATTGGACTTGCAATTTCATTGGTGGTGTTTTTTGCCGGAACTCCCTTTTATAGGCATAAGTTGCCTCAAGGGAGTCCTTTTACGAAAATGGCGCGGGTTTTGCTGGCGGCATTGAGGAAATGGAGGGTGTCTCTCCCTGAAGATTCAGCAGAACTCTATGAGTTGGATATAGAGGAGTATGCACAAAGAGGGAAGTTCAGGATTCACTCCACAAACTCGTTGAGGTTAGTGGTTATTTTTCGGGTAAATTGCAGGTAGACCCTCTGTAGTTTCAATGTTTTTAACTTACTATCCCTGTAGTTTGTTTTAGTGTTGCTGATGGACCTCCTTGGTTAAATTTTGTTGATGCTTTTTACCTTCAGACAGCACTAATTTCACCAATGGATGATATCTTACAAATTTCACCCAGGGTTAAGAGTCAAATCTTTTTACCCAGGGAGCTTATCTGCAACAATGAAACTACAAGGGTAGTAAGTTCAAAACAACGATACTACATGGAGTCTATGTGCAATTAACCCTTTTTTTAATAAGGGATATATACAGCTTGGCATCCCTTTTGTGCTCAATTAGTATCATTCCTTGCTTGATTAGTGCTCTTACCTCCATCCATTACAAGCGCTATTGTAGTTGATAATTATGTGTGGAATGCTGCATTAAACTGAGTAGGAAATGCCCGAGGCTTGATTTGAGATGCTAACAATAAATAAAAACAAGCTTTGTATAAAATTTGAAGTGGGACCTTTATGATAAATAAAACATATATGGTTTCTATTTATAATTTTAATTTTAATTTTACTTTTTTAACGGTAGTCAAGATATTAATCATTATCACAGCATTAGTTTTTTGAGGAGCAGCTTTATCCATTCTTGATAAGGAAAGCAAACATTCTGTCGATATTTAACAAACACTAATGTTAAGCACTTCCCAAAGGAGCATTCTTTGTGGATTAAATATTAACACTACAATGATGATTCTACTTTTCTAGCACTATCTTTGGCCTACAGTGGCTTCAGTACTAAGGAGAATATATTTCTTGCTCATTTGAGTGCAGGTTTCTGAATAAAGCTGCAATTAAAGCAGGCCGAAATTCTCCATGGATGCTATGCACAGTGACACAGGTGGAAGAAACAAAGCAAATGCTAAAAATGATCCCAATTCTGATAGCAATGTTTATTCCTGCCGCAATGATAGCTCAAGTTAACACCCTCTTCGTCAAGCAAGGCACTACACTCAACCGACACACACTGGCAATGCTCATCTCAATCGTGGTCTACGACCGTTATCTGACAAAGATCATGAGATCTTGGACTAAGAACCCAAGAGGAATCTCTCTCCTACAAAGAATCGGGGTTGGTTTATCTCTACATATCGTTATAATGCTAGTTGCATCGATAGTTGAGAGAAGAAGACTAAGGTTTGCCAGAGATCATGGAGTGTTTCAAAGTGGCGAAACCGTTCCTCTCACTATATTTACACTATTGCCTCAATATGCGCTTATGGGTGTGTCTGATGCTTTCTTAATTGTCGGAAAAAGCGAGTTCTTTTATGATCAAGCTCCTGAGAGCATGAAGAGTTTGGGGACTTCGTACTCATTGGTGACTTATGGGATTGGGAATTTCCTTAGCAGCGTTCTTTTGGGCGGGATTTCGAAATTTACGAAAAGAGGAGGAAGACATGGATGGATTTTGGATAATCTCAATGCGTCGCATTTGGATTATTACTATGCATTATTGTCAGCATTGAGTGTGTTTAATCTTGTCTTCTTCGTGTTTGTCAGCAAGCTTTATGTGTATAAGGCAGAGCTATATGAATCAAATGAAGAACCAATGAAGGATATCGGCAAGGGATATGATGAGGAATCAGAGATATGATTAAGGGGATGAGTTGTAATATTTTTCTTCATAAACAACAAAGTAAAGGGTTTTTAGCTATATATCCTCCAAATCAAGCATATTCGCAAATTTACCCTTCAAAATCTCGATGTTTGCTAATTTACCCTTCAGTTCTATCACATTGAGTTTAAATACCCCTCAAACTTAACATCATTAGTTTTTGCAGCTAAGCAACTGACAAAAAAATAGGAATACCCCGAAAATATTCCTTAATGTATCTTGCAGATTAATATGCTCGAATTGGAGGGTAACTTAGCAAATATCTAAATTTCGGGGATAAACTTGCAAGTATGTATAATTTGGAGGGGGTATAAGTAAAAAAATCAAAAAGAAATCAAATAATGCAAATTTGTAAATCTTCTTTCCTAAAAGGAGGGTGGGTCACACCCCGAGCCCACGGGCTTGTTAGTGCGATGCAACTCATAGGACCCATCGAGTGTAACACATTGTTTGGCTTAATCCACAGCCAAAATCGACTAGCCGATATAGCACCTTGCTCTCAACACCCATAATTTAAACCTCTTAAACTCTATCAATTTTACGATGTGCGACTATTAGTGTGGCATCACAATCACTCCACCTTTAATATGCAACGTTCTTGTCGCGGCATGACAATTAATACATCTCAGTATCATTGCCAGTCAATGTAGACTGTAGAGGTGGCTCCTACAGCTTCTATATTTCTAGATAGCTAAGTGCTCTGATACCATTTGTCACGCCCCAAGCCCGCGGACCTGTTGGCGCGATGCAAGCCATAAGACCCACTGAGTGTAACGCGTTGTGTATCTCAATCCACTGTATAAATCAACTAGCCGATGTTGCACTTAACTCTCAAGACCCATCATTTAAACTCTCTTAAACTCTATCAATTTTTTGATGTGGGACAATTAGTGTCGCATCACAGGGTGTATCTACAAAAGTACAACCTACTGAATATCAAACCTTCCCGCTTAATCCCCCCTCCCCCCCCCCCCC